ATATATATATATATATATATATATATATATTATTTTCTCTTTTAAATCTATATTATGGACTTACCAATAGAACAAATAAATATTGTTTTATTATTACATAGTATATATGTTGAAAACTATTTACACTTAAGTGACTTTATAAATAAGATTTTCTATAGTTAAATAAATTCACAACATAGATTAAAAAGAGAAAGAAGATATATATATATAATATTAAAAAGGTAAAAAATAACAAAGGATGAAATAAATGTTTTGATAAATAATTTATGATACTTAGGTTTAAAAAAATTGCACAGCTAATAATTTAAATATAAAATTCAAAAGACTAAAATACTTTAAATGTATTTTTAATTGTTCACTCTTTTTTAATTATACAGAGCTGCGGAAAGACAAAGGATGCCTCCCCCATGACCATGATAACGATAGGATGTAAAAATTAAAAATGATCCATCAACATTACAGTTTTTGTTGTTTCTTTTTGTCTGTTCAAAAAACAATATTGAGTCGATTTTTTTTCTTTAATTATAGTTATTAGGGATTTAATTAAATTCACACGTTCACTATCTCTGTGTCATCACAGTCTCCATCACCATGCAATTATATCACCCAATTTAATTAATTATTCTAAAAAATCTTTAATGAAAATTACTTCTTGTTTAACTATGTATATACTGGCTGCTTCTTAGAAACAAAAATAAAATGCCAAAGGTTTTGGTAATGATGATTCAAGCTATGATCTCAGATGCATCAAAATCAAGTCTGATTCCAATTAATATGCAACTATATATATAGTAATTTAATTAAATCTATATGGGTATGTGTTGTTGGAAAAATATAAAAGAAAATATATAGTAGACACTCGTGTATGTGAATTAACTATTTATACTAATTTATGAAATATGCAAATCTATCATATTTGACGTGCTTGAGTTTGGTACGAAGGAAAATATTTTCTAGAAAAATTAGTGAATTTTTTTTATTTTATTATTATTATTATTTGTGTTTGATACGTAAGTAAGAAAATTATCTTTAAAATATTTGTATATAATTTAGGAAAATATTATAAGAGGTGGGGTGGAGCAGGAATGTCAGGTAGCAGGGATAGGGACTACAAGAATGGGGTGAAGATGAAGTATGTTGGA